AGAATTAAAGCATAAAGCTCCGAACAGCAATATCAAAAATTATTTCAAAAGTTCTGCTCTTATACATTTGCCAGGTTGTTTGACAACTTACTGATATTAATAAATATTATTGAAATTAACGATGAACAGTTGGTGTTAAAAAATCAGTATAAACAGGAACGTGCCATTTTAAACAGAGTTGAACGATCGCTAGCAGTGGAATCTACGATGCACGTTTCTTTCTATTCGGTATTAGCCAGTTGAATGTACCTGATTTTTAAAGCGGGTCCCGTAGTAAATGTCATCATTGGAATTCAGATACATTCAGCTGCCGAGTCCCAAATAGGACGTAAAGCGCAACCTAGATTCTACTGCTAGACACCGTCGATCTCTGCGAATACTGCTAGTAGTTTATTAGTAATATCAAGGCGGACAAAAGGGACTGATCGATTACAGTCCTAAACATCAATAGGAAAATCCCAAACAGCCAATACAAACGAATAATTATATGATGTTGACGAAATAGTGACTGTCAACAAGACTAAGGTTGCTGACTCATCAATGTTACTACTACCACTACTAATATTACTACTCTCAATTGTAATTCATTTTATATTGAAAGAAAAAGGGACGCCGTTTATCTTAAGATGGTAGTATTAAATATAATTTCATAGTAATATTCAGGGTCAAAGTGTATAGTGTAGCGGCGAGGTTAAAAGTACCGCAATAAACAATCATGATAATGTTGATTGTTTTGTTATACACCATTTGTTTGGGAAGAATTGAGCATTCGATATATATTCAAATTATCTGTACCTGAAAAGATCGTAAATATCATACAGAATTCATACGATGGACTACACTGCAAAGTCGTGAATGGAGTACAGCTGACAGATGCATTCCCAGTGAGGACCGGAGTCGGATAAGTCTGGTTACTCTCCCTCTTCCTCTTTCTTCTGGTGGTCGAGTGGATTATGAAGACTTCGAAATCTGAGAGGAAATACAGAATACAATGAACAGCCCACAATCAATTAAGAGATTTTGACTTAACAGTTGACCTGGACCCTCTATTCCAGACACGAACAAATGCAGATGAGGACAACCAGTGTAGCAGTAGCTTTTACATCAGTAGGCTTCAACATACACAAACGAAAAAAGAAAATACTCAAATACAACACGAAGAACACCAACCCATTCACACCTGATGGCGAAACTCCGTAAGAAAACTTTCATGTACCTGGGAAGCACCATAGATGAACAAAGGATGATCGGATGCAGACGTAAAGGCGAGGATCGGCAAAGCAAGGGCCGCATTCGTACAATTGAAGAATATATGGAACTCAAGACACCCGCCAACCGACATCAAGGTCAGAATCGTCCGTGTGAACGTCAAAACAGTTCTACTGTACGGATATTTTACAAAGGCTAAAATATGGTATGTAAGATATTATAATTATGGACTTATAACTGTAGAGCCTGATGATGAAGTTATTGAAAATAGTTGTTCGCTCGAATATCCTCTTCATTTTTAAAGTGTAAATCTAAATTAATTATTAACCATTTACTAATTACAAATAACTTAGATAATAACGCACAAAACTTATCGGAACTATTATATTTTTATTGTCCATTTACATCGTGTGTACTTTTATTGTATAAGTTAGGTCAAATGTCCGATGATTTTTTTTCAAACAAGGAATTATTTTGTTAGAAAATTTCATTTTGCAAATTCATTAGAAATTTGTATTGATAATAAAACACTATTTACGTTATAAACTGATCTTATTTAGACAACTATTAAAAACCTGGAAGCACTAGACAACTATTTTGTTTTAGTATCTATCGGACTCTTCATCAATACTCATCGACAACCTCACATAGGATCGAATTCAATATATCAAGGTGTTTAGGCAAGCACGATACGAAATACTGAGAAACTTGAATGGAAAGATTTTATTTATTGTCATACTTTTGTCTTATAGTATCCTTAAACAACATAAAGTTGGAGGCAATTGCATCGGAACTCATTCACTTATTATTGTGACCCATTAAGAAATAAGTTTCATCATCTGAACTTTCTCATTTGAATAATAAATGGTTGACATTGACTATTGGAAAATTTTTAAGAAATAATTTTTTTAATTAATTGCAATTCGAATGTGTGTTTAGGAGTAACTTGTTGAAATATTAAATAATAGTTTCTAAGAATTCTTTCAAACACGGTCACAAATTTCTTAAATGTTGTTAACAGTGCTAAAATCTTACCAGGAATGTTAACCTCAAATTCTTTCTTCCTAATTTAATTTTCTGAGTGATTTTCAGATTTTTCAGATAGGTTGCCATTGTTTTTAACTCTTTAGATTTCTGTATGCTTTAGTATATTTTCGACAATATTTATACGAAGTTGTACTATTTCGTTTTGTTGCGCTTGTTCTACCTAAAATATCAAGTTTTCCTATTGTTCATCTTCTCTGTATGCTAAACATTTGGTGTTAATATGTTGTGTGCTAGTTCCTGTTATCGATTTCCACAACAGAACTTGTAGTATTAGGGTAGTTAAATCATTCCTAATCAAGCAATTATTGTAGATGATAAGTGTGCCACTGTTATACCTACAGAATCCCTAATTGACTTAGGCGTAATACTGAAAACGTTTAGTCTGACAATGTGTAGTGAAAACATAATGACTGCTAATATGGATTCATTCGACTCTGGAAATAAATCAAAATAAAATACGAATACACCACTAATTAGATGATTTATCAGGTTTGTGTAGACTTAACTTAGTAGTATTTAATAACAATGAATCAATAAATTACTTTGTGAACATATATTACAATATTATGCAATTAAGCATCTATAATTAACAGATATAATTAACTAATTAAGTTATATAATTACTTCTTCACAAACAATTAGAAAACAAATCGATTTCATATGTTACTTGCACTTCATTAGATTAAGTCCTTGTTTGGCATATTCATAGGTTTGTATTAAATTTCAAATACTGAAATTAAACAATTCTTTGCTGTAAGAGAATTGATAGTATCAAATAAAAGTATCATTATTATTTGGCCTCTTAATTAACATATTAAGAATTTCTATCATTTCCATCAAAACAACTCATATCAGTGGATAAGATTATTTTCAATTAGGTTTTCATTAGGATTTATTCTAATATAAAATAAGATTTGTATATATATATATATATATATATATATATATATATATATATATATATATATATGTGTCAAACCGATAAAGACAGTTACCAGTTAAGTGATAACAATGATATAGTTTACACAAACAAATGAGCAACAAAATAAAAATTCATAGTGATATGACAAGCGGACTGGTAGTAATAGAAATGATAACAGCTTGAATCGATACTCCAACATAGGAAGTAGATCAAAACACTAAAATAATGATCATTAAAAGTTATTAGAATTTTGCCATATGGACTTTTGAAATAACTTTGATTAGTGAAGAATGTGTGTGAAAAAAGGATTGAAGAAAAATAAACTAACAAACGATAAGCAAAATATTAATATGGATAATAAATATATTAATGATAATTAGTTGAATTGTATGTTAGGCCTTAATGAATCTAAAGGTAACAGATATGACACGTTTCTTCTGAACATTTAGATCAGGGTTGTAGGTTCAAATTTCTGTATTTGTTGTTATACTGATATAGAAGATGGGATTAGACCCAGTTAGGAAATGACGAAGGTTTACGGTAGATTACCATTTTCAACCAAGTGTGGTAAAACGGAACTATGTATCATCGTTGTCCGACGCTTTCCAAACCACGCAGGGGGTTGTTTACTCATTCGTTGACCAATTTATCTTGTGATATGCTTTATATAGATTTTTCTACAACAGTGAATCGATCCGTGTTTACATAAATGTTAGTGTATATTAGAGTATTTAATATTTAATTAAAACAATATTGTTTGCTTATATGTATTATTCATAATTAACAATCAGATAATCCTCTAATCATACAATCAAATCATATCAGTGTGGCTGTTTCAGTAATGTAAACTATGAAATTCATCAATCGCCATAGACCACTTATATTAATAAAGTTCATACCGCGATCATCTCAGCTATGGGAAACGTGAAACAATTACTTGTCGAAGTTAGATATGTAATTTATTGAGTACTGGCTCACTTGTTCACAGGATAAGGTAAAACCGCCCGAACTGAAGGTCCTCTGCTCAATCTACGAATCGATCGTTAATAAAAATCGGTCAAATATTTTTATGAATTTCGTATAAATGACTGAAATACTTGCCAACATTGTAGGAGGAATAACGTTAGTCTGTAAAAATAAACAAAACTGTAGTCTAGGGATTGATTAATTTCGCTTAGTTTTGGTTTCTACTCCATACTAAACTTAGTCATCATATCAGTGGAACGTTTGACTAAACTAATTAATTTATTATTTAATTATTTGAACACATAAATATTGATACAAGGGGGCACCAGATATATATGCGCCACTAAACTAATTAAACCTCATATCTACGTTATTCCTTTAGAATTAAACAAGATCTAACTGCTCAGGTGATATGATAATCCAAATAATCCAAAATGAAGAAGTGTATGTATTTAAAGCACAAAACAATCACATTATACTGTATTCTATTGAATTATATTGTGTTTTACTCTCATTTCCCTAAAAAAAACATTGGGACATAATGATTAAGACTTAAAAATTACACACACAATTGAAACCTTACTCTATTAATATTGATCATTAGAGCATACGGTAGTAGAACTCATGAATACACACACATTCACAAAATGCTAGAAGTGAGTCTTACGAATAAACAAACAAATTAGTAGTTACATGATTACTGTGCTACTTTATTACCATTATTATTAATATTATGATTACTTAATAGTCGCATATTTTCTTCTTGTTAGTAGAATACACAAAATGAATTTCGACCAATAATATTTTCAGATAATAATCAAGCATCTTTTTTTCATGTTGTGTTTTACCTCCACAGGAGTTTCATGAACAATTTAGCAACCTATATAAAACTTTCAAAAATTGAACAACCACGTCAAAGTGTCATGGTAAGTAACATGATTATTATGAATGGCTTTATTCCATTTTATATTATTGGTACAGAATAGAATTCTCAGCACAAAATATTTCGTGATGGATTCTGACGATAAATATTGTGTGATTACCAGTTAGATGTTAGCAGTTCAGGAATCGACCTCTGAATAATGTATATTGTTTTCGATGAATATAACCGGCCATCACGATGTCTCTTATTGTACGTTTTTGTCAATTGTACAGTGAGAGGTCGTAAACTTTTCATGAACGCTCCTGAAATATGTTGTGCTATCCATAGACATAATGATGTGTTAAAACAAACAGAAGAACAGATAACTTATTGAAATATCTAGTTGGGAGGAACAGATAACCCAGATATTCAAGCAGGCCGCCAAGTGATATCAAGTAGTATATTGTTAAAGAATGTTTACACTTTTAAACATATCACCATTTGCTCTAATATTCACACTAACTGATCACTATGTAAATGATATTTAAAATTTTGTGTTTATCCAATCCCTTTTTTGATGTTGATTGAATCTCATCGAGACAAAGTTGCATCAAAACAAACCAAATGTGATGTTAATTAGACTTTGTTTAATGGGTTAACTGACTGTCCTAAATTGTTCAATGGTAATGTTTCAAACTTCGCTATTTTGTTTAATATCGATTCAAATCTCACCGTGATCATCATCCCTTTAGTTTGTAATTACACCTTGTTTTATGTGTAAATAATGCTAATAAATCATGAAGCTTGATCAGTTCAGATATTCCTCACTATCACCTTCAGCAGTAATCTAATAGAGTAATGTTGAATTGACTTTTTTTTCATTAAACACAACAAATGTTGAAGAAAATAACTAGATGACTACTTAGTTCAAAAATTAAATCATTGTTTTTATTCCAGACTTTGTTTTTTCTTGATAAGATTGTCAAGAAATATTGAAGTTCCAATTCATTATTATAAAATGTTGTATTTAAGTTGAAGTTTTTATTATTAAATTAGTTATATAACAGTGATTCAATTGATCCTCAGGTATTTGCATAGATCAACTAGAAATGATTTAGAATGTAAAATATTTTGGTTTTTTGTTTTAAAAAGTTTATTATTAGGTTATGAAATCCTATCTTAATATCCATTCTGTATTATGTAATTCATCTTGAGTATGATTGTTACACAATTATTGTTGTGACCACTGTCGTACTAGTTATATGTGATACTAGGGACTATTACAGTTTTGACTAGTAAAAACACTAAGTTCAGTGAATGGATCACATTTCAGCGTACCTATTATCAAGCTGCACAATCGTATATATATATATATATATATATATATATATATATATATATATATATATATATATATATATATATATATATATATATATATATATATATATATATATATATAGCTTGATAATAAGTTCGTTTAAGAAAAACCTTTCGCTAGAATTCGTGTTTTAAATGTTTAAATGGGGATTTTACGATTAAAAAAACTAGGATCACAAAAACTAGTGCACATGGAGATTTTATTAACCCTTCAAAACACGTTGTGTTTGACAAAAAATACACCCATTTATAAAAATGTTTTTTTTATATACGCTTGATAATTAGTTAAAAATATCACATAGAAGGAAAATACCCTGAGACACTGTAAACACATGCTGAATTGCTACGAAGAATAGAAATGTTACACTAAACAAAACTCATATTAAACTAATCCAAGAAATATCGACCTTTACATGACGTCTTATTAGTTACTGGTACGATAGTACATAACATTAAATAGAAATGGTCGACTTAAATGTATGCATTAAATTTGTCAACTCTGTACATTTATTATTATTCTGGTTTAAGAGTCTATAACTTGTGGATATATTTCTCAAAAGAAGCACATAATACCTTGGTGAACCTGCTAATCTCCGTTGATTTAGATAGCTAGGATATGTGTTACATATAACAAACCACGGACTACTTTAATGATCTCTGTTGACTGGATTGAAAGTAGGTTGTATGAAGCTACGGCCTTTCAAATCAACAAGTAGTGCCGATTCATGAAGTCACTAACTATAGGTATGTATTATGTTAAGCAGTTGAAGTCCTCGCTATGATTGTGATTGTTTGGTTGAAATTTAGAAATGACTTGACACTCAAAATCGATTGCAATAATTCAAATACTTTAGTTTTGTATGTTCTCCTTGATTTTCGACTTTTAAAATTGCTTCATACTTCTATCTTACAAATTCATTTCTTTGTTTCGAACCAGTATTATCAATATTCACTCATCCTGATACCAGTATTATGCCAATTTCAATACATCTTAATGTTTTAATTTCATCGTACTAATGTAGTGTAACAAATATCACTATACATATGTGTCAGGTCCTACATTAATTCTAAGTAGCTGATCGACCGAACAACAGCATAATTAGTAATTTAAATTTACTAGACATTTATTTCTTCATTTAATGCACCATGAAAATGAAAGTAGTAAAAAAAACTTTAGTCATTGATACAACAACTGACATAATAATATTGTAACTGGAATGAAATTATATGATTCACTAAATTAATCACCTAATAACCCATCATCATCAGTCATATAAAAGATATAATTTACATCACAGTCTGATTTTAGGTATACAAGCATTACAGATTAGGAAGTTCTGGACAGTAATTACCTATGGATTTCAATCATATCGAGTGTGAGGCAGTTACGCATTAGTGACACTGGAAGATGATTGGGGAATATGTTTCCAGTTGATTGAAGTTAAACATGTGGAGGATTAGATACTGGCTTTGTGATCCAAAGATTGTGTACCCGCTTCAACATTTGATGGTACTTGATTCAACCCCGGGTAGAGTTGTGTTTATCCACACTTACGCTTGAATAAAATAACTTTCCATGCCTTCCTTATTTTCAATAGTTGTCTAGTTAAGATCAGCCTAAGATGTAAACTTTGAAATTCAACAATCTCCTCAAAACTGTAAAGCAGCACCTTTTAAAGGTATGTCATTCGTCCAACTTGCCACAATAAATTATCGATGGTGAAACTAAATCTGGAAAAAAACATGTTTAATAAAGGAGAAGTTTCAAAAACTAATAAGTTACTCTAACCGCATTCATTGTTAGTGTATAAAAAAAATGCTGAAAATATGGTTTACTGTTTCTTCATGTATAGTTTGTTCAACAAAAAGCGTACACTTAAAGAAATGATAACGATACGATTAATAATGGTGATGAATGATGCATTATGCTTTGAGTGCATTATGAAATTTGTTTGTTGATGTAGAGTTTAGTATTTGAGGAGTTATGAATCCTTATAACAGATTGTTGTGAAGACTGTTGAACTTGGAGTTTCACACCATGAATTGGCTTTGGTTACACAACTATTGAAAGCAAGAAACCACTAGACACTTGTTTCAACGTAGTTGGAGACTCCTCAACACTGTGCACCTACGACCCGACTAACAGTCAAATGTAAGAACTCCGGATTATGTGACGCGCGCTTAAGCCTTGGACTAATGAGTTGTCATTTATTGATCTCCATTTATAACTTCAGTCGACTCAGGATATTGCGCAATGATTACATTTGCCTCACACACGGTTGAACTCCATTGGTCATGACTTCTTATTGGAACTCCAGGAATAAATAACCCTAGAAATTAATCATTCGTAAGCACATGATGACTGTTATAATGTTATTATTGCTAACCAAAGTCAACCTGTGATACCGAAATTCAGTTATTTGGATTCATTTTAATGTATTAGTGTCCAGTCATTGGAATTCAGGTTCGGGTCCCATTTCACTTACGTTCTTTTGGGTAGCCAGGTATTATCACTGGCCCTTACTCATACGTAATGTTACTTTAAGTCTGTTCATATAAATCTGTACTTGGGAAACTAGTTATTCACTGTTAAGATCACGATAGAACTGTAAACTTTTAATCGATTACTTTCTATAAACTTCAAGTGATTTACATAATAACCAACAAAATCGTAGAACAGATGATTAATATTGGCTTATTATTTCGGCTTCACTCACAAACAACACATTCATCTTTTTTCATAGTTGTCCTTACGTATAATTGTTCATATAGTAAACATTCTTTGATGGTAGCTTTTCGACTTCTCACACCTTTACGTAACTTATCACTAGCAAAATGAAAAGGATTACAAGTTAGTTATTTTATAATGTTAGTGACTATTATGGTTGTTATCATAAGTTAACAAGCATGTACATGTTGCAACTTTAAAAGTACATTGAGAAATATTTTCATGTCTGTATTTGGTTCACAACACAACAATACTAACTATCAGAAAGTAAATATCAGATGACTATTACATAGTATACTGAAACCTTGCTGTACTGTCAGAATGTTTATTACTTATCAGAGTTCAATTTAATTCCAAATTTTCAAGCAAAAATTAATTTTGAAATTGTGAATGTTGCGTTTTAACACATTCACTTATATAATCAAGAATTACAATGGAAATTCGGGTAATAAGAATACCATGGTACTAGTAATATTACTATATACTTATGTATATGTATATCTTATGTCTATACTTTGCAGTCATCTGAAGTAAGTTTATTTTCGACTTTTGATTGTTGTGTTGCAATTTGATATTTGTTTATTTTACATGTCTCGGTATGTTTCGATGAACGATTGAGTTCATTCGTTCATCTATCTATCTATCTATCTATCTATCCACAAATCTATCTATCTATTCATCGTTTGTATGTGCACATCTGTTGTTTTATCATGGTGAATAGGCATGCATTACACTGATTTCTATCATTACTATCAGGTCATTGTATTCTGATGTCTCTCACTGTAAATATCTATATTTACTTGTATAAATATACCTATACTTAGATTTTGTTTCATTAAATGTTAACCACAGGTATTATATGAACTGTTTCTGAATTTGATTTATTCACTAAAGAGCTCTAAAACGTTGGTTAGTATGAATATTCCCATTAGCTAATGAAGTTTACATATTATTTATGAATGTCATTATTATCAGAATTACTAGTAGTAGTAGAATTATCCTGTCCTGTTGAGCTTTACCATAACACATCACGTATTTGGTGTATAAAATGTAACCGCCCCCCCCCCAATACTCCATCTCCTTTTTGTTAATGACTCGCTATGTCATGGTGATGCATGAATCATCATTTTCCTATTCTTGCACAAATTCATTAATATGACCTCATTTCATTCGCGTACATCTCATATTGTTGGCATATATTTTCAACAAAATCTCACCTTTTATCATATAGAGGTTATTCAAAATTTTTCCCTTACTAATTCATATGTTAGCGTTGGAAGGATTGATTGGATATTAGCTTAGTTTATTTGTTTGAGCAGTACTTGTCCATTGTTAGTCTGGACGTTTCGTCTAAATCTTTTTTCCTTTTTCTTGGACATAAAACACGTCTTTTTTGTCCAGTTTGTTACACTGGATTTCGTTGCATATCATTGTTTTTTGAAAAGTATTATCACTAAGTTTATTATAGTCAACCGATGAATATTTGGATTATTAACCCGTAAATATTTAAAATCCCTCCATAACTCTTAGTGACCAATAAGATTCATGAGTAAATGTTGGGATTTGTCATTTTCATTATTTAGGCAAACTATTATGGATGTCTGAACTAGTTTCTGCTTTTTTGTTGTGTTGTTTCATTATGTCTTTGAAGTTCCTGTCTTCTCCAATTTCAATTAATTTTGTTAAGTGTGTAAAGTGTTTAAAGTCGACGCTGTTTTTTTTATCAACGGAAACAATAGAATAGTCGTAAAGATAAAACTTGAATATTTTGTTTAAAAAATATTGAAAATATTCTTGATTTACTCACTAAATGAACACAGAGTGTATATGATACAACTTACTTTTGTTGGATAACCTCAATAAGAATAAGTAAGTAGATGGGTTTATGTTATAACTTGTGACCGCCGATTAGACAGCAGTGACTTATCGATCGGATCAAAGATGCGTAAACCCGTATGAGCAGCCTTGAGTCCTGATTGACCCTGCTTTCCTGCCTAGCCCAGCCAGTTATGTCCAGAACAAAAGTCTCAGCCTCGGCGATACAAATCATGTATTTCGAACATACTCTGTTTATATATACCAATCAAGCAGACCACATCGTACCATAAAATAGAAAATAACATTTGTACAATATTTGGCCAACAGGAAAATGACACGTGAAATAAATATTGACCAATAGGAAAATGATACCATTTCAAGTCCAAGGATAGCATTAGACTTAAGAGGATAATTTTCGGGATATTTTTCTGAATATCCCAACAGTTTATAACAAAAAGATTTTGTATTCGAATGACAATCATTATTTTTTAACTTTATTTTATGTAATATAATTGTTAGAAATTATCTTCTAACAAACTTCATGAACATGAACCTGTTATCATATATTGACAGTTGCTTTTTGTATAAAATATAATTGAAAAATGAAAATCAGTCGAAAACTAGTTAGAACTGTCGAATCGATTTTTGGGAGATTAGCTAAGTTTATAGGTTATATTTACTACAGATTGTCATTGGAAACCAAATAGCACTAAACAGCTTGTTTAGTCCTAGAATGGGACTCCCTAAACGTGGGCAGCCAAGACGCTGCTAGCAATCAGATCAATGTCCTCTATGTCTCGCGGCGAATGTTTTACCACTAAAACTATTCCTAAAGAGTCTCATACAAGGGTGGAACAGCTGTCAATTCCTACCTAGTTTGCATTGGTAGCCAAAGTGAGATCAATCTGTGATGACAATAACTTACTAATTAGACATGTGGTCAATAGTAATCACGAATTTTGAATCCTGTATTTGTTCCCAAGTGTTTAGACTGCATTACACTGAATGATTGATTAATCAATATAATTAGATATGTTTCAGGTAAATTCCAATACATAAGTAAATGTTACTTTACAACGATGTTAATACCTTTAAAAGTGCATAATGATATATATTTTATGATGATAGGAATTACTATTCGGTGTTGTAATCACCCGAAATTTCCTCAATAAGGTTTTGAGAAGTTCAGTAAAAGCTGAAAACATCAGACGCTTGAAAAAAGTAAGCATTAAAAATTCAAATATGAAAGAATTAAGAGGATCTAGTAAAAGACTAGAAAGTCATTAACAATTATTGAAGTAATACACTCATCAGTAACACTGCTTTGTCTATTTTAGTATAGCTCAGTATTGAATAGATGAACTCCATCTTAATAACTGATTTATATAAGATTCTTAATTTAAAATATAACAAAAAAGTATCCTATTAGTGACCTCAACTATTAAATTTAAGTTTCAACTTTTAAACTTAAATATTTATCTGAAGGGAAAGAACAAAAAAGAGACGAAACACTTAACTGATTGACACATGTGTATTCATTATCAAATCTGTACATATTATTCAATATAGCTAATTCTTATTATTATTATATATACTATTATTAATTATCATGAAATGGTTTATTTTTCTCTGAGTTATCTTCATTTTGTATTTTGTTACTATCACTTGTATTTAAAATAAAATAAATGACCTCAAGTTGAAAGTTTCTAAGGTTATGATCCATCACTCAATGTTTATCGTCATCATCATCATCATCATCATCATTCGCATATAATACATGAAAGTACTGTATAACGTGTAGAATTAAATTGTATGAATATGGGTTGGTATACAAAACAATGTTTTGTTTTACAAATCCTAATATTCATAAATATTGTGTATGTTTAAAGTCAATGGTTTAAATGAAGATAATAATGATGTGTATAGTCTAATGAAACAATTAAAGTAAACACATTTAGTAAATATTTGGATAAACAGTAACATGGATTGTTTCTTACGTAATATATATATATATATATATATATATATATATATATATATATGCGTATGAAAAAATAAAATTTCATAAATTATCACGTCATGGTTTATCGCAGACTGAAGATTATGATCTTCCAATTGTTGTATACCTTCTCTGTTAGCCAATGAACAAAAATGCAGACCGCCAAAATCGAGGATTTGTTGCTACAAAACGAATGAGACATAATTATACATTATGTGATGTGTTTTTTTAAATAGCTTCCAATTTAAACTAAGGCTTATATTTGGCTATTTTTTACTCCATGTTATATAGTTTTCACTAAAAACCCTTATTTGAGAGATCGATTTAATGTTGAGTATTTTATCAAGTCGAAAAACTCTTATGAACGTTATCTCATCGTTTATATCACAGACTAATTTTACTTAAATACCTATCGAATGCAAAGAAATACTAGGGATTTTCTTTGTTATAGTATGAATCTCCTCAGCAGTGCACCTTCGTAACACTGATGGGGATCGGAAACAGAATCTTTGAGTCACCCAACAATTAATTAACTTCCAAGCCAATGATCCGGCATCCATTACATTTTTAACCTTGATCTATTTGTGATAGTTTGCAATCACCTTCCAATGGTTCACACCCGACATGTTTCAACTCCAACAGTCATGGCTTCTTACTTGGATTTCGAGAATTATCTCTAGAAATTATTTACCGATGAGCATAAGGTTACAATATGTGTGAGGGATTCACAGATTACTCCTCTGGCTAATCATAGTTAGTTAACAACTGGAAACTAAGAAGCACTAGACAGCCGTTTCGTTTAATTACGAGATTTCTTAGCGGTACACTAGTCACGATCAGTGTATAATAACAACTGTGAAATTCGATAAATCCTATAGATCCACATTTAGCATTTTCTTATAGTCCCAACAATCTGTATGTAAAGACTTATTAAGGGATTTGTAAAATGATCGAAGGACCGATAACACATTCCTGATCTTTTCAACCATTTTTACAAGACATGAACATCTAATATTGTGAATATATTAATAATGATAATCTTTTACTTCAGAATTTCTTTTGAACAAAAGAAACTGAATAAATATTCAATAAATTATTATTTTTTGTTGTTGAATAGAATCTACATTGTAACGAATGTGAAATTTCTTTACATCCAATTTACCCCTTATACTATGTCATTGTCATTATATTATTATAGTTTTATTTAAATTAGTGTTATTATTTATTTACTTATTTTAACCCATAGATTTGGTACAAGGAGGCACCAAATACACATGTGCCACACAGATCTAATTTGATATATGTGAGGGCTGTGATATTGACCGGGTGTCCAAACCGAAGCAGGTGGTTTCCTTAGGGGGCCACACCCAGAGCCTTCGTCATGATGGTCTGATCCACAAGGCAGTGGAGCAACGTAAGGAGGTGCAGTCCCATGGTAGCCAGTGACCAACGACTGGTTCATACGCCATTTGTTCCTTCAGGATACTGGAGCCCATGTGCACCATTGGTTTGGAATCAGGGTTTTCCAACTGCCCTAGGTGAACTCTGCATGTCCACAAACCCGGTTAAAGCACTGGACATCCGCTTTTCGTCCTCAATTTCGTAAACAACACCCCCGCAATGAGAAGGCAGTGAGTAGGACTTCCCTGGCAGAGGCTATATACGCGTGGCCATGTGAGAGCAGTTGGAGAGGGAGAGCGGACTCTCCCCACT